ACCCACCATCACCCCTTTCTCCAACAACCTGGATCCGCCCCCGTAGGTATGAAACTTCAGATATTAGTATATAGACTAACTTTATGATATTTTACATCCTGAACATTTAACCAGCTAAAACCAAACTAAGTTACTCCCGTTTCTCCCTCTAACGTATTCATCGCAATGATATGACATGATCGTTGCAGTTGAAACTCTGCTTGTATTATCACAACTCGTACAACAATCCTTCAGGATCTTGGACTCAATCTGAATTGATATACAATTTAGAGTGTTTCGCTTTGTCGATACAAACATGCGTGTATGCATACACATACCCTTGCAGGCAGAAGTCGCAGCCGAGGTCGAGGATGTCGTTGGTAAAATAGAACAGTGCATTCATGTTCACACTCCTGTTCGTTAGCGTTTGTTCCGAACTTCGACAACAGCGTTCACCAGTTTGTGCAGCTCAGCGGAGTCAAGGACTGAGAGAGAAACTCTTTTAAATGTTTGTTATTTTATACATGATAGAGATAAGGATCACGATTAGTACAAACTCTGTTGGCAAAACCGGTGGCTGCTAAGTTATACAGCAGCACCCCGTCATATGACGAATACGTTCTTGAGAGATATAAGGGAATATCGAAGAATATCGGTCTGCACTGGGCATGGCATAATGTTAAAATCCATTGTCGTTTATGACGTGAAGTACAGATCTATCATGTACCGGTTCCTATACTGTACATATCCTCTTTGTTGACTGTGTTGAATTCTCCATCATAAAGGGATAAATATTTCAATAATAAAACAGTAAAGGACCTTTTTAATAATGTTAATTATCATTTAATCGTTGATTTTTTTAAAAAGATAGATTTGTTAAATGAATTTTGACATATGTTTTGTAAAAAGAGAAACTTTTATAATTGGTAGTTCAGATTATCAACTTAGATTGTTTGTGGCTGTATCCTCAAAGGGGGTTGAAGTAGCGTAACATTATTGTCCTCCTGAGAGGGTACGTAAGTCCCAAAAACTTTCCAAGTCAAATTTCGCTCAGCCATACTTTTTAATCGTAGCATTTTTGTTATTTTAAATTTCGGCTAAATCTTCCTACCATCGCCAACGGCTGAAGGGATGGTGTAAATCCAACTAGGGTCCATGCAGGTAGCAAAGGCACTGTAAGTCCGCATGGCCCCTAGTATGGTGATCTACCTTTAGTTGTTGGCGATCTATAGCCCCGTGTTTATATTCAATTTGTATTGTATGCTTTTTATTAATATGTTTTAGTTTTCCATGCTAATTTTATATCCATATCTGTGATACTCTAGTTAATTTACAGTCTGTCGATCACTGGTGATTTACCTACTTGTATTTATTGTGTATGCCCAACATTTCTCGTCACTATATGGCTGAAATATTGCCGAGGTCCCCGCGATTTCCTAGGCCGAGGTGACGTTACATTTTAACTCACTCACTCACTCCACATATCCTCTTTGAATAGGCCCGATGAGTGTCTGTCCCTATTCAGACACTGTTTAGTATTTAAAGAGACTCACCATTTCCAAGGAGTGCCCTGAAGGCAAAGGGAAGCAGACACAGGAGAACGACGGCCACTTTCATGCTGTGGGTGAACAAAGGGTATTTATATCCACAAAGTTAAAGTTAAAAACAGGGAATGTTGAATATGATATAAAATGGAAAAATAAATGGCTGTTGCTACGGGCAGAACAGGACATGCTAACCCTTTTCGAGGGAACACAACGGTTTTATCATTGACTTTCAGTGAGCCATTCATATAATTTTCACATATATTGTTTGCCTTTATTCCCAATGGTATTTGGTTCTGCGGAGAGTCGAGATTGGCTATTCGTTTTGGAACGACGTTCTATATTTACAAAAGTAATTAGAAAACAATTTAGTTAGTCAGTCAATCATATTTGTATTGTGCATTAATAAGGATAAATGATCACCAACCACAATAATACGTTTCCCACTCATGCCACTAATTCCAAGATTCACTCACGAACTGAAACGGACCTGAACTACAGTATAGTTTCTTTAAATAATGACATTATGCATCATGTTATATCTGTTGCATTTTGATTTAGGTTTTATTTGAAGACAGAAGTGTGATTGTAATCGATTCAAATTGAAATGTGTATATGTTTCAGACTGAAAGGTCATAGGAAATGGTACGTATATTACACAATGTAAAGCAGAGGCTGTAAGCATTACTTTCCACACTGACGTTGCACGATGCCTATACATTAGTAAGTTACGAAGAATATGTTATTGACTGATTTCATAAAAGAAACACATTCTATTTTCATTTAGATGATAAAATGTGAAGGTGTACTTTTGCAAGCAATTCTGTTTTAGTATATCCAAATAAAAAGTGATATTCATCCATCTGCATTTGAATTACATTGCATATATAGTCTGTAAATATTTGGTATATCATTGCGTCTCCTTAGCTATGTCATCCATCTATGAACCACATCTATATAGCGATTGTGATGTTACTTTCACATACACAGTCATTAACTTCATTTCAGTAGAAACATATGTTTGAAATAGCTGACTAGAAACCAGAGAAACAATAGAATATGTAACGTCAGTGCAACAGAATACAAAGAAGGTGTGATCACGCTGTGACAATCACATAAATGGACCACTGAAAATTCACGAAATGATATCCTGCCCTACCTTTCCATCCAGTATGATGTTTTGAGAAAATTGCCAAGGTGAAGTTTAAAATAAGTGCAAGTGTTCCTATATTTATTTACAGAATGTCCCCACAGTGAAAATACGTACTTTGTGAAGAAACTTGGAAAAGAATAAAGGACCACTTGTACTTTCATGTGTTCCCTTATTTGTTTCCATGGTTACACATGTATGATGTCTCCACCACAGCACATTTGAGAATGACACCAAAGTATTACTGTGAAGTAAATGTCTCTACCTTTTTCCCTATTAATTGTCGTATTTCATTTCTTTTTTTTTTCAATTATATTCCCTTTCAAGTCTATTCCCTTTCCGAACTCATTAACCTTTAAACTATCCGTATTAACATCGAGCATCCATTATCACAGTGTGTCTTTGCACCTGACATATTAATGGTTTTAACCTGCAGGGATTTTACTGTGCATGTGAACATACCTATATCAACTACAAAAAGGAACATAAATGTTAAGGGTGAATGTAACACCGTGCATGAACAGCCTTCAGAATTTAAGGTTTGTGACGAAAACAAAATATTGTGGTACAGGGAATACGCTTTTACAACAACAAAAGTCATAAACGTCAAGTGTTTTTTTCCACTCTGCAGAGTACACGATTTTGTTCTTTGTTTTTACCTGAATTCTTGCAATTGAACAGAACTGAAGTCTTCAGTTTATATACTTACAAGTTACATGATCCAAATGTCAGTTCTCATGACCTGTGCTTTAAGAGGTCAATGCTATTAATATGTTTGCCATGCTTGCTTTATCCTATCAGAAACTCGTAAACAACACAAACTGAAACATATCTGATATTCTTCCAAATCTGCGTTTTTATGTATCAATGCACAGCTACCTTTCATTCTAAAAATCTCAAAAAACACTCCCATAAAAGAGCCAAATATAACTTTGCACGTGATTTTTTATTTTATTTTAGCTTTGTACCTGAGCATTGTTATTCAGGTAATTCTCGTGGCTGTACACATAAAACATGATAGCTTTCAAAGCCAAAACAGTTTCAAAGCAGACGTTACATTATATTATCCACAAGTGCAAACACCTTTTAAAGTAGATCAAGGATGATGTACAATATCAATCAGATATGATTCCTCATTTGTTTTATTATTGATGTCTCTACAGGGACACATGACCTATTAATACTTGAAGAGTTCCATTAGTGATGGACCCGTGGTGCTCAGCATGGTCAACTCTTGTGTTGCAGGAGGGTGTGACATAGCATGTTTCTGCTACATGTGGCATAAAGAACGTGATATGGTGGGTTTAAAACGCAGGTAACCGTTGTGTTCTGGGCATCAGTCTGGTAAGCTCTGGGGAATTTAAATCGTGTTGGATCCTGGAATTCAGTTGCAGTTACATTGCAGACATGTTCAGAGTCTATGATTATTCACCGTTTGGCGACCATACAAGTGTATTTGTTTGTTTGTTCTGTATGTATCTTCACGGGTTTCGTACACAATTACACAAGCATTTTAAGCAGCCGGTTTAATCAAGGTTATATGTTTTGTTTAGTAGTCTATTCTTATTTACTATAAGATACGGTGAAACTTGTACAGCTTGCCCATATCATTCATATAACATTCATCGTCATTTTGCCCTTTTACGCCTTATGAAATCTGTTTTTCGATGGATGATCCCTACCTGATCCTCTGGCATTGACTTTATTTTGACGTGACGATGCATATCTTTTATGAATGAAAAATAGCTTTCTAACATGGCCTTTGATGACGGTAACGTGGTCACGGCTATCCAATCCAAATGAATAAGAAGAGGTCAACCTTGATCGACCAAAAGTATATCTGATCACCTGTCTCTTCACGTCTTGTGTAACTTCTGCCTGTACGAACTGACCCAGACAAAGTAAGTCACTGGTCGTATATCTGAAAACGTTTTACTGCAAAATACTTCCTGAATACCACTTTTGACAAACACAGTAGGAAACTGCATTGTTGATATCAAACCAGACAAAATGGAATGATTATTTAATGATGACAATGCATGTAGTCAGTTGATTAGTTGGTTAGTTTGTTTCTAACGCCGCGCTCAACAATATTCAAAGCTCTATGGCGGCGATCTGTAAATAATCGAGTCTGGACAGACAATCCAGTGATCAACAACATGAGCATTAATCTACGCAATTGGGATACGATGGCATGTTTCAACCACGTCAGCAAAGAGCCTAACCAGCAGTCGGTCAGTCAGTCAGTGAGCCCTCAGTTACCATTAACCCCACCGTCCAATGTTTGAAGGATACATGAGGGGTGTTTCTGTGTCAAGTGAGATATGACGTTCTTGACGAGATGACAGATGCATCAAATTTCAGAAGACACATGGCACCTTCTGGTCTTAACATAAACATCAAAACTCGGTACATCAGAACAACCTAAGGAAACATAAGAGTACCTAACTTTCAAACAGTTGATATAATAATGAGTGAGTGAGTTTAGTTTTACGCCTCAGTCAGCAATATTCCAGCTATATGGCGGCGGTCTGTAAATAATCGAGTCTTAACCAGACAATCCAGTGATCAACAGCATGAGCACCAATCTGCGCAATTGGGAACCGATGACATGTGTGAATCAAGTCAGCGAGCCTGACCACCCGATCCCGTTATTCGCCTCCTACGGCAAACATGGGTAACTGGAGATCAATATTCTAAACCGGACCTTCACGGGTCGATATAATAATGATATCAGGTGTTCGCATAAAGGTGAGCCCATCCGACCTGACCGATGCCACCTTTCATAAACATATCCAAAGACCAGTCAATCATTCACCCGAAAGAAACGGGAACATGTGATAAATGTCGAACTGGGGAATTGCATCTGAGATCATTTTGTCAATGATGCTTCAAATGTCCACCCCATTACCAGAAATGTTTTGAAAGCTATATACTGATCGCAGTCCTTCACAATAGTTGTATGACACTGTTTGAAACACCTGTAAAAGGTAATCGTTGTTATGAGTGCGTATGAATATGAAGGTCACATGTATGAATGGACTAACACAAGCTCACTGTAAGAAATGGAGGTCAATGTGTCACATCAGGTCATGGGAATGTTTTTACGTTCATTTATGGACCAAGTTCGTGGGTAGATACTACGGTTATAGCGAATTGATTTTAGCTCGGTATATGCATTTTAACTATACTCTCCCCAAAAACAAACGCATTGGTGATATTGATATTCAAATTTAGTGTCTGATTTGTTATAATGTCGCCATTATAATGCTGATTTGTGTACATGAAACCAATGCACAGAACATAAACGCATCTTCGGAAACTTTAATGCACGTTTGTGTTCGAAAGTGTCAATTTAAAAGAAAATATCATGGAGAAAAGTGGTTCGCAATATGTACGTGCATTTCTGAAGAATCGTGAGCAGGGACATTGCCTATATAAGGGCGTTTTGGCTTGAAGGGTCATTGGCTAACTATCGTTATGTCGCGACTCACTGCTGTAAATCGAAACATTGCCATTGGACGTCTGGATGCTGGGGAGTCTCAATCTGCCGTCGCACGTCACCTCAATGTTCACCAGAGTACCATCAATCGTTTCTGGGACCGATATCAGCAAACAAATTCTACGCAAGATCGACCTCTAAGTGGTAGACCTCGGATTACCACTGCAGCGCATCATAGGTACTTCCGTGTACTTTATTTGCGGAATCGAACTGTCATAGCAACTGCAAGTGCAAGTGCCGTGCCTGGTTTGAGGAGAGTGTTTGCGCAAACCATTAGTATTCGTTTACGAGAAGATGGACTTCGAGCCAGAAATCCCTGTTTTCCTGTTTTGCGACAACTACGTCGACGGGTCCAGTAGTGCAATTACGTTCGATTCTGGAATCTATAAAACTGGCGACGTGTATGGTTCACGCTTTCTGCATCAGTGCCGTGACGGAAGAGTAGGTATCTATCCAGGTCGAAATGGACGTGGTACCCAGAATTGCGTCACCCATGATGATGACAGTGTCATGATGTGGGGAACCATATCCTACACTTCAGGGCAATTGAGCTGCTATTAGTTTCCGAGACGAACTATTAAGGCATCACATGGTTCCAATCATTGACCGCCTGAGGGATTTGTTCAAGACAATGCCAGACCTCACACAGCACATGGTGCTATTCAGTATCTTCAGAATGAGAACATTACAGTGCTGTCATGGCCTTCCAAATCGCCTAACCTCAACCCCATCGAGCATTTGTGGGATGAACGTCAACTGACGCCCCATAGGTTAGGATAATCTCACAGGTTTTGAAAGAGGAATGAACAAGAATTCAACAAGGTCGAATTCAAAGATTTATTTAGTCCATGCCGAGATCGAGAAGAGCAGTTTCAGGGGTTCATGGTGGCCACAACAGATTCTGAAGACAACGCCCAACTTATTGAACGTTTTTATAAGCTAAACATGTTAACATTCATTTAATCTTTCATACTGTGAAATGTGGCTGCAACTGATCCAGAAATACACGTGTTATCTCACTTTGAAGTTAGCAGATTAAGTTCGTAAAAATACACCTTTCTTTATTTGGAGCGTATAATGTATATAGCAGGTAGTAGGAACCAAAATACCGTTCGTCACATCCGTCAGTTCACTATAAAACATGGGTCGCTTTATTACCCACGTGGTCAACGTATGGGTAGTTGCATACTAATCTCGTACGTCACACGTGTGTCGTATCGCGTTGACCTGTGTCGTAACGACTTGACCTGAGATTCTAACGATTTGATTGGATAACCGATGACCTCTCAATTAGGTCACATTCTGACGTAACTATTTTTTCATTCATAACAAAAACGTGAATTCATTCATTCTACAACTTAAAAATGCATTGTGGGAATGTAAACATCGAGAACGTTGCCGTGTCGCTGTTTAATTGTGAGTCGAACTGAGACATTATATCCGTCGAAAAACATAAACGCAATGTTTCCACCAGTGATGTCAGCCGAATGAAGCAACTGCAAACCAAGAAACGGGGTGCTACGGAGTAGTTTACTGTAGGAGGCTGTTCGAGGCGATGACAACTGACATGCATCGTGACGTCGGTTACCAAGGCAGTGACGTCATTTTGGTGTGACGTCATGCAAATATTGTACTACAGTACAAAACTCTTCCGCAACCCCTTTATGAAACCGGTTTCGGTTTGAAACCAAAATATTTACAAAAATACGCTATTTTGTCAATTTAATGCATGTAAGACGTGGGTAATAAATAAAATACCACACTCGGTCTCATTACATACGAATTATACGAACTCGTGGCCTTCCTATGATATCTGACCTCGCTTTCGCTCGGTCAGATACCATAGGAAGGACACTCGTTTCTTATTTCACTCGGTCAGATACCATAGGAAGGACATTCGTTTCGTATAATTCGTATGTAATGAGACCTCGTGTAGTATTCTCTATGTATGTTATTGTTGGTAGTCATAGGCAACAACTTAAATATATGTTATGAAAATAATATCTGGGGGTGTTCCCAGAGATTAATCAATAATTGAATCAGGAAATTCTCTCTTTGTGTGTGTTGGGGTGAGGGGGTTTGGCAGCTTGTATATCTGTGTTACATCAAGAAATACACTGGTGCTGTTTGCATTGCCAAATGTCAAAATCAGAAAGGCTGTTTTAAGCAC